TTACGAATTTAATGTTATTTTTTGCAAAATGAATGAGTTTTGGGCACAAAGATTTGCAAGTGAAAGTAACATATAGTTGGACATTCGTGTAATTATTTAAATATAATTCGAAATTGATTTTATATTCACACAGATACATAAAGCATGTGATAATAATTATAATATTATAAAATATATACATTAAAAAAATATATATATAAACTCATGTTTTATTTAATTTTGTTACACAAATATTCATTACAGTCCCTAAAATTGAAAAAAAAGATTAGTTTAATTATCAAGTTGAATAAGCAGAATTATAGCAATTTATTCTTGCTTTATAACAATGATGTTTATAATAGTACTTAATACTTTATAATAGTGAATTAATTGAACTTTTCGGCCAATTTTTGCGGTCAATGTATTTCATTATAAAATTATATATTTGTTACCTACTTTTTTATTTGTCTAAATATTTACTATGTTACTGACATGGAATAATGCTATTTACTCATAAACAATTAAAAGACAGTAAATTATAGCAAATTTGAAATATTAAATAATTGCCTATTTTAATGTATATACTAGTGTTTAAATCTAAGACGTAAAAAACTGTAGTCATGAAGTAACTAGTAACAGAATGGTAGAATGTGAAAATTAAACCAATAATTTGGAGTATATTGCGCTATGAGAATGGAAAAAATGATAATGATGGTGGCGTATCTAAAATATAAATGAGACTAAGAAATTGGCATGTAAGTATTTATATTTCTGCAATGAGAATGTATCTTAATTGCAATATTATGTTTTATATTGAAATAAATTAGAAAAATGTTCATATTTTATCGAAGTAATCAATAATATAGATCATAGTATTAATTATATTAACCATAATCTTCATTAATTTCTTGTACATTATTTCTCGAAACATTAATTATCTGCTTAACGAATGCGCTGCATTGCTTCTGTCTGCCCCTCTTTCTCTCTCCATCATATCATAGTTCTCGCTTCCTCTCCCTCCCTCCCTCTCGACCACTCTCTCTCTCTCTCTATCGCACGCGAGCGCGCTCTTGCTCTCCCAAAATCGTTTACTATACATATTTCGCATCGGATCCTACCGCTTGTCTTGATAATTGTTAAGTAGGTTTGAAGGCTGTCAGTATTTACATACAAACAGAAAAACTGTACGTCTCTTTCCTCGATTTCCTCTATCAGACACTTTTCAACGAAGTAATGCTCGCATCGTGTTCAGTTAAATACGTTCTATCACACAGATCAGATCACAATGAGTTTTAAAGAGCGAATTCAAAAAAGGCACCCCTGGATAGAGCAATGTTTTACTAAAAAGGCCAATTTTCGAGTACAGTGTCGAGAACCATCTTGTACATCAATTTTAAAATACGTGGAGTTTGCAGAATATCTTAAATTTAAGAAGCACATATTTGAGGCGCATTCAGATTGTTATCATCATGAAGAGAATGAGATAAAAAACAAAGACTGGAAATATTTTAGACTAACAACAGAAAAAAACAAGGCATGTATTATATGTGATATATGTATTAGAATTCAATTTTCACAAAATGAAAACTTATTGGAACACTTAAAAAGTCACTCGGAATTAGAAAAAAAGCTTGGACGCCTACAAAACGAAGATTGGGGTTGGAAATACCTGGAACAACTTGAAGATTTTTCTGCTAAATGTAAGCTTTGTGCGAATAAAACAAAAAGTATACAATTAAGTTTAAGAACATACTCTTTAAGAGAACACATGACAAAAGAACATGGAAAAAAGTTGCCAGTAATAATGTCACGAGATAAACAGTCTTTGAAATATCATACTGAAAAGCATTACTTTTTTAATAAATGTTATACGAAGCCTGTGGATTTGCGAACAAAATGTCGATTTTGCAAAGGTGGCTTTGAATATGTCACCTGTGATTCGCTTAAGCTACACATAAAAGAACATACATTTATTTGGAAAAATGAAGAATCTAAAAAGAATTCACATAACAAGAACTGGTTATATTTTAGGTTTACGAAACAAGAAACAATAGAATGTATTTTATGTAAAATACCTGTGCTAAATGACCAAATGGAGAATCACGCAAAAGATCATATTGAAGAAGGTCCACCATCCTATATATTTCAACATTGGTCACGTAAATACGTAAGACAAGAAGAAGATAATATGATATGTATAATTTGTGAAAAAAGTATAACCGTTTATCTTAACAAATCAAAATTAAAAAAACATATGTTAGATAAACATAAAGACGAGATGAAAAGAATAAACGAAGAAGAAATATTTTGGAAATCGCAAACTGAAAAGAAAAGCTGGTTGCAAGAATATTATACAGATGATGGTGATTTTCGAGCAGAATGTAAATTTTGCGAACGCAAAGTAGTATATATCAAAGAAACACAATTTAAAAACCACGTAAACGACGTGCATTATGGAGTTCACCATCTTGAAGAACATGAAAATCCACATTATATCTACCTAGAACAGTGGAATTATGTAAGGTACACAAATGACATTGAATCGAAAGAACCAAACACAGAATGCATGATATGTCAAAAAAATGTCACACTACCTCACATAGATCATTATCCACGCGAGATAGTAAACTATGCTCATCATTGGGCACTTAAATACGCAAGACAGAATGGACATGTTGCAAAATGTACGATATGTGAAACACCAGTAGACTTTGAATGTGACGTGGACAATTTAGAAAACCACGTATCATTTGTACATCAAAAGGAGTGGAAAAAAAGACAAGAAAAAGAACAAAAAATAGAATAAATAGAACAAAGAACAGCACACGATGAAGCTAAACCGTCGACAAGCTACGCAAGTTAAAAAAAACGATCGTGAGTTTTAATTATATTTTATTAATTACTACTGTTTAGTAATATTTATCATTACATTTTATTCTTTCAGTAGTGTACGCAATCAAAATATGATAAAAACAACAAAAATCAAATAATTAATATTTGCTTTTTATATATCACAAATGTTTATATAGATTTATCTACATTGGACAATGGAAATGATGGTAGCGGCATTTTTATGTAGCATCTCATGACCAGCGATAACGACAGTCTTGACTTTAATCTAAGTGATTTGAAATACATGAAGACATTGGCGTATAATTTGACTTATTTGTCGCATATCGGTTTTGTGTTTATAAATGTACAAAATTTGAAAATTTAAATACATATATATTTATAAATTTATAACAACAAAATTGTTAAAATTTATAAAATTATATACATAATTATAGATATTACTTTAAAACATAATATCCTTCATATTATGATTTAAAATCAAATTTTGTGTAACTACATTTATAAAAACTAACCCGATTTCGTGAATACAACAAAATTTTTCTCTAGTGACGAATCTTCGAGTGACGTACTCAGCACATATATAACGAAACTCAGATAATTAGTACTTGTTCAAAATATTTATGTAAATTTTATCCAATCGCATTCTGCAGCTTAAAACAGATCTGTCTACGTCACTCAATATTTGAAGAAAGAAACTACTGATTATGTATTTTTCAATTCAACATAAGAATAGTATTTTTTTATGCAGTATTATCGTGAAAAAAGTAGACGTCAGAACCCTTAGCAAATCTCTAACGACTGTGTTAAGAATGAACTGGAGAATTATATATGTCGTAGTTGGACATAAATGTATTGTTTTCTTATACATGAGAAAACAGTATATCTCCAAATCCTCATACGAAATGTATATTCCTTTAGTTCCTTTTTACAATACTTGTGTAAATACCTTTTGACGCGTTCGTACGTCTACATTTTCTATGACTTTATAAAATAATTTTGAAGAATCATGTAAAAAGTAAAAGTTTAAATGTATTGGTGAATGCGCAAAAAACAAACATAATGTTCATGTTTTTAAAAATCCTAACTAAAGAGCGATTGTGACAATTTTGTACAAAATTACCGAATATTCGAACAAATGTATGTTTTGTGACGATAAATATCGTCACGTTAAATTTTTTAATATTCGTTAACATGTACGAAAAAGCGAAAAAAGCATAAAAGTATAAAAATTTCTAAATAAAAAAAAAAGAAAAGCATGAATACCGCCAGACATATGTTCAATATTTCAACAAATTATGTTTACAATATATTATCAGTGTAAAAGTTCCATCTATATTTGAATCTTCAATAAATAATATATCAATATTCTAAAATATTATAAGCATATACTAGATTGTATTATTTAATCATTTTAAGCTTATTTAAAAATGTTTCGATAACAAATTTAATGATATCTCTAAAATAATTCTAGCACGTAACAGATTATATCATTTTAATGTTATCCCTATTTAAAAATTTCTCAACTATAAAATTAATGTTGTATCTAAGGGATTACAAGTAAGGAGTTGTATCATTTAATTATTTTAATGTTACGCTTATTTACAAATTTTACGAATCTTTTACGAATTTAATGTTATGATTTACGTTATAAATGAGCGTTTGGCACATAGATTTGCACGTGGAAATAACGCATATTTGGAGATTCATGTAATTATTTAAACATAATTCGAGATTGATTATATATTCACACAGGTACGTATAGCATGTGATAAAAATTGTTACATTTAAATACATATCATAAAAAAAAAATATATATATATATATATAGAAAAATCATGTTTTATTTAATTATGTTATACAAATATTCATTACGCTCCCAAGTATTGAAAGAAAAAGAAACGTTTAATTTTGATCAAATTTGAATAAGCAGAATTAAAGCGATTTATTCTTGCTTCATAACAGTGTTCGGAACTAATTAAACTTTTCGACCAAATTTTGCGGTCAATACATTTCATTATAAAAATTTATATTTGTTACTTTTTTATTTAACTAAATATTTTCTATGTTATTGAGACGGAAAACTGTTTTATATCCACAAACAATAAAAAAATAGTAAATTGTAGCAAATTTGAAATATTATTTATTCGTTTTATTTTATAATAAATACTAAAGTGTTTAAATCTACGACGTTGAAAACTGTAGTCATGATATAATTAGCAACTGAATGTAAGAATATGAAAATCAAACCAGAATTTGGTGTATATTGCGATGGAGAATGAAAGAAATGACGATAACAATGGTGGCGTATCTTAAATATAAATGAAATGAAGAAATAGGAATGTAAGAATTTAAATTTTTGCAATGAGAAAATATCTCAATTGCAATACTAACAAGTTTTATGTTTAAATGCATTAGAAAAATGCTCATATTTCACCGATGTAGCCATATAGATCATAGTATTAATTATATTATTTATCTGCGTAACGAACGCGCTGTAATGCTTCTGTCTGCCCCTCTTTCTCTCTCAATCATGTCATAGTTCTCGCTCTCACTCCCTCTCTCCCGCTCGACAACTCTCTTTCTATCCCTCTATCGCACGCGGCACGCTCTTTGGTCTATAATTTATAAATGACTTATTTGTCGTATACCGATTTCGTGTTTATAAATGTATAAGATTTGTAAATTTAAATACATACATATTTATAAATTTATAACTTAATAAAATTGTTAAAATTTTTAAAATTATATACATAATTATAAACATTACTTTAAAATGTAATATTTTTAAATTATGTTTTAAAATCAAATATTGTGTTACTACATTTATAAAAACTAACCAGATTTCTTGAATATAACAAATTTTTTCTCTAATGACGAATCTTCGAGTGACGTACTCAGTACATATATAAAATGACGAACAAAACTCAAATAATTAGTACTTGTCCGAAATATATGTTAGAAATGTTTATGTAAATTTTATCGAATCGCATTCTGTAGCTTAAAACAGATATGTCTACGTCACTCAGTATTTGAAGAAAGAAGCTATTGGTTATATATTTTGCAATTCAACATAACAATATCACTTTTTTGTACAGTATTATCGTAAAAAAAGTAGACGTTAGAACTTTTCGCAAATTTGTAACAACTGTCTTAAGAAAGAACTGGAGGATTATACACTCACCCGAAAAAAAAGCGGTACACTGAAAATGTGGGAAAAATTCATCAAATTTCAACTGACGATAACTTCGTAAATAATAAAGATAGAAAGTTCTATAAAATATGGAAATGAAGCTAAAAATCTCTACTTTAAGAATCAATTTATTTCAATGTTGCAAAATAAATTTATTGAAAATGGCGGATGACAAAGCGCGAGCATGCAAAATTGAAAAATAATGGTTCGAGTTTGCGACGGTGCACGGTATAAACAAAAAATTGTAGCTTATTGGGATCAAAAGCGTACAAAAGTACAGAGTCTCCTCTTTAAAATGCTTTTTTATGCATCTTCGATACGATGATTTTTCGCCGAGAGATTCGCATTTGAAGAAAAAGGCAGATT